GAATCAAAAGACTTTTCTTTTAAACATGTTTCCGTGTCTCTCTCCAAGCTTTATTTCATTTTTGGTGAACATGGTGGGTATCGTACAATAATTTAAGCAGCACACATAATAGACGTAATTTAACAGAGGCAGTGTGATACTTCTCCCAAAGTGATAAATATAGTAATATCAAATAGGTAACTTCAATTCCCTAACATCCAAAAATATGTAACTTGAATTCTCTAACATCCAAAAAGGTAAATAATAATAATAATAATAGAATGGGGGTCAAAAATTCTTATACACACACACAAACACACAAACACCAAAGGCTTGTGACTGAATGTGATTTTAAGAAAATGACTACTTTTAAGGCAAGATCATTATGCTGCAAAGTAGATTCCAAAATTATGTTATAAATAAAATGCTACAATATCCGATCAGGACAAGTTCGGGTTTTAAGGATATGCTGCAGAGTCTGTGGAAGCTGGCACCAATGGGAACGTAGTTGCAAGTCTAATCCACATACAGCTTCTATTGTTAATCTGAAATATATTTATTTTATTAGACTTCTTAATTTTGCAAAAACAATATCTGATACTGCTTTATAAAAGCCTGTTTACACATATAACAAAAACATTCCAAAGAAAATCCACCATTACCAGACATTTAGGACAAGAGGACCCTAAAATCTGCCCCCATAACCAGTACCTTGTGTTAATATGTAGCATTTATAGTTCTAGACAACACAGACGTGTGGTATGCTATTATAAAAAGGACAAAACGAATAAGATAAAAGTAGTAGTTATTATTTGCACACATACCTCTGTAGACTTGGGGGACTGAACCTCAGTACAACCATTTCTTCAGCATGATCCTGATAAAAATATGAATAAATTTGAGCATTTCAGAAAAAAAAAATGACAATATGATAAAAAGCGTAATAAGAGACCAATCACTGATTTCAATGGGTTAAGTCACTAATAATCATGAAGGCATCAATAAAATGAGAAAACGATAATTAACTAACAAACAACAAGTACTGAATCACTATCAGCTGATGTGTTTAATGTGAATTTTAAAAGAGGAACTTCAAAGTTATTATCTTTACTGAACGTATCTGTTGCAGATTCCTGTACTGTCCACTGGATTTTTAAAATTTATTTTATTTTTTATTTATTTATTTATTTATTTTTTTTTTTTTGTGAAATCTGTTCCACATAGATGACTCCACAAGTACTAACTCAGCCACCAAGGGATCAACTAGTAGGGTATAGTGACTGCAGCTGGTTTCCCCATTCCATCCTTTTTTTATTTTTTTTAGGTTATTAATATCAATACTGTTGTTATTATTATTATTATTATCATTATTATTATTATTATTATTATTACTATTATTATTATTATTATTATTATTATTATTATTACTATTATTATTATTACTATTACTATTATTATTATTACTATTATTATTATTACTATTATTATTATTATTATTTTCATTATTATTAAATTTTTTACTAATATAATGTTATATAATCTAAAAAATACAAAAGAATCTATCCAAAAATAATGGAAGAGGGTAAACAGGTAAGATAGGAAAAGCTTAATAGTTGACTTCTTGGTGACTAGCCACTTGTGGAGTCATCTATGTGTACACATAATCAACTAAAATTATTGTGGACACAGTGTATGTCACACCATCTGTGACCAAAGGGTTAAATATAAAACACTTCAATAAGAAAAAATCCTGGTAGGAATTAATATTTTTTGTGACGCACAAAGGAATAAAACTTATCTTTTCCTTCCATGCCCCTGAAATTTAGATCTTTAGAAAATGGTAATTTTTACCCGCTGACCATACACAAACATAGATTATAACAACAATCTTTATTTGCATAGATGCTATTAGGCATACATCTATTTCCTGTAACATACAACCACACTAACACTAACATGAAAAAAATCAAAACTAAAGATATTTACAATGAGCAAAGCCATGGTGATGTAGAAGGGCTGTGTAAGTCCAGAATGAATGTACACCTCCCCATCTGGTATGACTGCAGTAGCATGCCAACATCTAGGCTCACCATGGTCATAAGCTAGGGGTACTTCGATCCACTCAGTATCTGTGAAACCTAGCAAGTCCCTTCCCACCTTCATCATCCAGCAGTCATCTGTGAGCAGGGTTATTCTTTTACTCTTCACCTATCAGTCTTTACTAATGTACTCACTGCCTGGCAATTCAGTCTGGTCAGAAGTGTCTTCCACTGTCTTTTCTAAGCTCATTCAACTTGCTTTCCACTGCATTGTCATGATAGTCTAACTTAGCAAAACAGTCTACAAAATGAGTATGTCAGCAATTCCTTACCCATATTTCTATAACCTTGCTGTCAACATTTACGGTAAAAGATAAAACTATTTCCTTTGAAATGGATAATTTGTATTAGATCACATCAAGCATAAAACATTATTTTATTAGTGTTTGTTGTTGCAACTGCCTCATATAACTTAATAACTA